GTGATTATAATTAACAGTTTTATAATATCCCATTTGTTATCTTAAGTGATATATAGAATTATCCCTATATAAAAATAGTAATATGAAACTAATTTATATCAGATCCACTATGGAACCTAAGAATTATAGCACCATTAGAAGTATTCTAAAAAAGGAACAAGGTGAAAAAATTGCACCATATGTTTTTAAAATAAATGATACTCAGACACTGGAAACTTATCTAAGAAAAGAAAGGATTACCTATGAAATTTACCAAGAAGAAAGAAAAATCATAAATGTTGGAAAAAGAAAACATCATGATGATGCATTATTACCTAACAAAAAGCAAAAATCCTTAGAAGAAAAATAATTTTTTATTATGATATTGATTTATTTTTTTTTACTGACTATTACCACAAAGAAAATTCTCCTTTATGCAAAATGTAATTAATGATCATCATACTGTATTTCTTAATCAATAAAAGAACATTGTTTGAGTTTTTGAATAAAAAACTTCTATCAATGAAAAAACAAATCCTAGAAGGAAAACGATAGAAGCAATTCAGGAATGGGTCAACAAAGAAAAGAAGAAAGAAGTGGAGAGTGAAGTTGATGAAGATAATGAAAACAATGAAGATATAAATATTAGTAATAATAACATTATCGATAATAATAGCATTAGTATTAGATTTTTGTCAGAGTGCCCAAAGAATAGGTAATATTTATAAATGGCTTTGGGTCCGAGTATTTTCCTCACATGCAAGTACTCTGACGATTTTTAACTTATATTTTTCTATTACAGTCGACCCCCCTTATAGTCACACCCCTCGGGAATGACTAATGATGTGACTATAAATGAATGTGCTTATAGAGAGGTATAAATATATAGTCACATGTCTTATTAAATACCATCACAGTGTGCTTATATACTATTTTTCAAATAATTTATTTAATAAAAATTTTTAACAATAATATATAGATAAGTATTCAAATTTTTATATTATTAACATTCTTTCTTTTCAAAATATGCATAAATGCTTTTTTGGATCTTTGGCTCCATAAGTTTAACAATACCTAAATATTTTCTAAAAATGCGCAAATCATCAATTTTAAATTTTTCGTTGTTTTTCTGTTGCTCAAAAAAATTAATAAATGTTTCTAAACCATTAATTGCATTTTTTACTGGTATCAAAGGTAATTCTTCATCTGATGATGAATCATTACCATTTTCACCCATTTCTTCAAATTGGACAAGACTTATAATTTCTTCATCATTAAGGTATTCTTCAGTTGGTACATTTTGATTGAAACTATCAAAATATTCATTTACATCATCAGCATCTGGTAATATAATAATGTCATTATCATTATCATCAAGTTCTGAATCTTGAATATTCACATGATATCATTACTGTTTGGGATAATTCCTGTCTTAATCCAACAATTTTGAATGGTTGTTTCAGTGACATTATTCCAAGCCTCGGCAATAAAATAAATAGCTTCTTTTACATTCAGCTTATCTCTAAATATAAAGTAATTAGTATATTTGATTTACATAATTTAAAAAAATCTGATAATTGATTATTAATTATATCATTACATACCTTTGGTTATATGTTCCATTATCAAAATGGCGAATTAAATATTTACAATATTCATGTTTGTATTTAGCTTTAAAACTATGGATGATACCAGCATCCATTGGCTGTAAGTGTGCAGTGGTGTTAGGAGGAATATAAATAAGTCTAATATTTGTAAGATTAATATTTGGTGTTTTTCTTCCCTTTTTTTTTTGTGTTTGATCAATATTGATTTTTCTTCTTTGAGATGACTGAGATGATTCTGCAATTGGTCCTTCATCATCAGAACATGAACTTGATTCTTCATTGATAATTATAATTTCTTCATTGTGATCATTGACAATGGTAGAGTTTTCATTAGGTTGTTCAAGTTGTTTTGGATTAAAATGCAATCCAGAATTATCAATTAGAAGAACAACCTTTCTGTCCATTGTACAAAAAAATCTATCATGATAATTGAGCCACTCAATGAAAATGTCAGATCTCATCCAAGCTTTTGAATTTGCATGGTAAGTAACAGGTAGTGTAGATTTATTAATATTTGTAAAGCAACGTGGGTTTTGAGATTTTCCGATCACTAAAGGAACAAATTTGTGACTACCACTTGCATTAGCACAAAGTAAAACTGAAAGACGACTTTTATCCTTAATTTAAAAAAAAAAATTTTAAATATTTGCAAACCAAATTTTAGAAATAATAAATAAATAAATTTACTTTTTTGTATCCTGAAATTGGGCCAGTACTTAATGTTTGGTTGGGTTGCATCCTAAAGAAAATTCCTGTCTTGTCAGCATTATAGATATCTTCTTCATTATATTGACTTAAAATAAATTTCAATTTTGAACATTCTTCAGGAAGAGTTTGGAGTGGAGCACTATTAGCCTCGCCAGAATATTTAATTTTATGTAAACCATTTCTTTTTTTGAATTTATATATCCAACCATTTGCACACTTTATTTGGTTTTCAATATTTAATCCTCTTGCAAATTCCTCCCCCTTTCTTTGTAAAATTAAATCACTTAAAGGCATTCCAGCAGAAACCATTTGTGCAGTCCATATTTGCATTGCTTTATCAAATTCAGGAAATCTTGTTGAATGCTGACAAAATTTGTCAATCGTATCAGAAACTAAATTCAACCATTTATCTTTATCTTTAAATATTTTGGAAATACTTGTTCTATCAATATCAATATTTAGTTCTTTGTATTTATTATTAAAGAAAGAGGCAACATCAGCATGTTTAACATTTTGATGAGCCATCATATATTCGCAAATTTCTTTTTTTAATTTAACACTGATAGCAGTGCGAGTTCTTTTAGCAGTTATTTCTGACTTCTGCATTTTTATTTAACTATTGAATTATTATCAATTCTTTTTATAAGTATTAATCAAATTAAATTATAACATGAAACCACTAAACTGAATTCGTAAAATAAGTGTTAAATATTGAATTGTAAACACTAAGAATAAATTGGAACCAATTCACTTTACAATAATTAGAATTTTAAATAAATATAATAGATTTTTTTAATTCAATTGTCCATCATTAAATTAACTAACCATTAATAATGTCACCAATTAAATTTGGGAGAGCATATTTTTAATTGGTGATAACAATTATTTTTGTTTTTGCGTGGATCAAAATGAATAGGGGATCAACGAATTGATTTTGTTATTAGCGAATAATTTTGTTTAAAGAAGATAAAAGTTTATTTAAATAAAATATTACTATTTTATTTATTTAGTTTTTCTTAGTCGAAACTAATTAATTTATTACCAAGTTACTCTTACATTAGGTCGAAATTGAGTTCTTTATATACAATTTGATTAATTAGTAATTCTAATATTTCAAAATTGAATTTCCGCTCAATATTGTAATAATATTTCAAAATTGTAACAATATTTCAAAATTGCGCTGATATTTCAAAATTGCTCTAATATTTCAAAATTGCTCTAATATTTCAAAATTGAAATATTGGAACGACGATTCTTCCTTAATAAAGTTAAATAAATTACGATGTTATATAAATAATTAACAAATAAAAAATAAAATAATATGAAAATAAAAATAAAACGTATTACGAAAATATATGTAATACGGGATAAAATAATACTAAATTAATAAAATAAGGTGATAAAAATAGAAATAAATAAAATATAATAATAATAAAAATTTAAGAATTTCGGAATTAGTCAAATTCGGCAAAATTTTAAATTTTACAAAATTTAGTGATCAACAAGTGATTGTATGGAGTGATTTTTTCTTATCTTTACTAATG